TTTTCTCCGGGTGGATGCCGTTAAAAATCCCACCTGGTAAGTGAGTCATGCGCACCAAACACAGCGACTGCCAACACAAAATCAATATATACAGTATATACACAATATATATATATATATATTTATATTTTATGACTATTTTTTTTAAATGACCTTTGCATATTTACTTTAACAGAGTATAGATCCACATACATACATATTGATCCAAACACGAACACGAACCCATTCCTGTGTGTACCGACTGTATTGACGGCGTACACAAAGCTGTGAGGAAGCGAAAATGTCAGAGGAAGTGGCGTGCAGGTGAATCACTGATTACAGCTGAGGGTGGATGAGCTGCTAGCATGCGAGCCCAACAGCTGTGGAGCCTCGGGGAGGTCTGAGTGAGGAGGTCACGGGAGTGTGCAGGCTGCACAGTCACACGCACACACTGGTCCCTGGGTAGGATTTGATCAACAACTTTGTCACCCCAAGACAATGACACTTATTGATGTGCAGCCTGTGGCCTGAACATGCACCATAGATTTAAAAAGGCACACACTAAACTGAAGTGAAACAAAATATAACACTAGCAAACAGATGGAGGGGGATATGGGTCTAATTGGTTTTCCTGTGATGTTCTAAGCCGTGATTCTAAGATGATGATTTCTTTTAACAAAATTGTTATGAATTCAAGAATATGGGGTCGATGTGGTCGATGTGGTGCAGGGGTAGAGAGGGTACACCGGGAACCACAAGGTTGGTGGTTCGGGCCCCAGCTGCCCCATGTCCCATGTCGAAGTGTCCCTGAGCAAGACACCTAACCCCCAATTGCTCCCGGGGCAAAAATGTAAAAAGCCATGGGTTAAAAATGCAATGCAAGTCGCATTGGATAAAAGCGTCAGCTTAATGCAAAGAATCTCATTTTAATAATACATTTAAACCATCCTCAGCATTTAGACACAGTGGGCTTCTATGAGCGAATTTGGAGTCCAGTGTCTCATTCAAGGGCACTGGGACGTTGGACATGGACACATGCACTGCCAGGAAGGGCCGTGGATCTAACCATTGTTGTGATTAAAGGACGACCTGCTTTTCTACCCTGAGCATGTCACTGTTAAAGATATGTTCAGCTTGACCCAAAGTAAAGAAACAGGTATTTAAATGAATTTAATGAGAACGGTCACAAGTGACACACTGTTTACTGTGCAAACAAGACAAGAGTAATAAAATCACTACGACCCAGTGAGCCATTCTGTAGGTTTCCATTAAGAGTTGTTTTTTCAGTCCTTGGCTGTGAACTGATTCCCAGCAGAATTAGATCATTTGTCTCCAAAGAAAGAAGAGATTGGTAGAGGAGGAGAAGTCCTGGTAGTGATAGCGGGGGAGTCGACAGGTGAGAACTGTCTGCTTCATCCAGGCAGAGGTCTCAACACATCAAAACCAGATGCAGCCGGGCTCCAGAGCAGAGAGGTGCATTATGGATTTTACTCAAAGCTCTTAGATGGCTTACCTGCCCAGTTAATCCATCATCAAGTCAAAGCATGTTTGTAACTCTTTTTAAAACATGCCAAGAAGAACAGAGCACGTGAGCACGCTGAACAAGTGGCTAGTGTTCATGCGTACATTGTGTGAAAAGCAAAGTGGAGAATGGACACCTATCTGCGAGATGGAGACGACTCATCAGAGCGTTGTGTGCAGAAACCACAGTGACGTCCCCGCGGGCCCAAAACCACCTCCCGGCCAGGCCTGGCCTCTGTGTGGTTTGTTTGCACTGACAGCTTTTCCAGACGACACGTGCAGCCGCCAACATGCAGACCTTACTGCACACCTTGGGAAAATGTGCAGCTCACATCGAAAAACACTTGAAAAATCTGTAATGGGGGCATCCACTCACAAGCAAACACACACACACACACACAAACACCTGTATTACCCCGCTCTTTTTGGATCCAGTTCGCACAGCTGGCTTGGCAACATTATGTGAATGCAGTGAGACTGAGCCAGAGTCCCGCAGATCAGGAATGTGTGTCTCTGTGGCTGTGTGTGAATTTCTGAATCAATGCACAAAAACATGTTTGTGTCCTCCTGTGTGTGTGTGTGTGTGTGTGTGTGTGTGTGTGTGTGTGTGTGTGTGTGTGTGTGTGTGTGTGTGTGTGTGTGTGTATGAAAGGGGAGCACTAAAAAATGAATCACCAGCAGACGGCTTGGCTGTCCTCTCCCCTCTGTGTGTGCCTCAAAGCCTCCTGAGATCTCAAAGCTCTCAGGAAAAGAATCCTGATTGCAGAGCTCTTCAATCAACTCCCACATAATGGGGACAGCCGCTCGGCCAAATGGTAAAGGTGCCTGTTCCACGATGTCTCGGATTTACCACCCATAATCGAAAGGTCATAGGTTCAATATCCAGTGTCAAAGAGACTTTCCTGAATGAATGAGGAGGATAAAACATGATTTTAAAGAGTTTTTTTTTGTTTGTTAGTAAAAAAAGAAAAGCTTGGAGTTAAATTGACTCTATTGCTAATTGAGTGAAACCAAGGTGAGGCACTCCCAATGGAAACCATACAACAGACGTACAAATAAAACTCAACCGTTTTCAAAGTGCGAAAATGTGAACATGTGACAAGAGACATTGTTCCACATAAGCCAAGCAGATGCTTTTTATGAACATGGAGGTCCCAGTGCAACTTTTCGTGTGGTTTTCATTCATTAATAAACAGTAGTGTCATGATAACAACAACAGAACAACATCTGCCTTTGTCAACGGTTCCATGAAAAGTTTCTGCCATGTTCCTCTGGGGAACGTAAAGAGGCCTCCATCAGCCTTGCTCAAAATTCTACGTAAACAATTCAACAGTAACGTATACTTAAAGAGACAATAATATGTTACTCCGAGGAATACAGTCAACAGTTTTCAACATAATTAGTTTCTGTTAAAAAAAATGCTTCTAATAAAAACATTTTGCAAGAATAACTCTGATTCAAAAAAAAGATGTATTGGTTTGAAAATCTAACTTTTCAATGCTGTAAGACTTCCACTGTATTGGGTTGACCCAACGGTACATAGAAATGACATTTTGAGTCATTTGAACGAACAGACCCTTAGATGTGTGCATGTACAATGTGATGAAATGCCCAGACAAACACAATCATCTGTGCCCCAGTATTTTATGGCTAATCTGTACCAGATCTCAACAATGATCCCTTAAATGCCTGAGGATCAACGCGATGGGCTCTTTAAGATTGCAGCGATGACACAAAAACACACCTGACGGAGGGAACGCCAGTAAAACTCCCAGAGGCTTCCTGCTGCGGCTTCAGCACAATAACACAGAGGAGGGAAAAACAAGATCTTCAGCAAACAAGATTACAGCTGCACAACTTTAACAGGCGTGCAATTAAGTGTATCTTCCAGACAACAAAGGCGAACAGTTATCTTGTTTTTTATGAGAACTGAAAAAAGAAAAGAAAAGAAAAACATCACGCATGATGATTTGCTGAAGATCTGGTAATCGATGCGGAGAGCTGGTGGACCATTAAAGATACAATAACACTTGGCACACACGCAGCTCTGCACTGGCTATTATTTATGCTCTGATTTCCATTTTGGCAGAGCTGCTGTTGGTAAAAGTAACCGTAAGAGTGTGTGAGAGCAGACATCATGAAGAGGGAAAGCATTAAGGATTCAATTATTTCACTGCTGCACACCGTCTGCTCATGTGTTCACTCAAGTCTGCTTTGTCTGCTTGCTGTGTGAGTGTCTGTGTGCGTGTGTGTGTGTGTGCGTGTGTGTGTGTGTGTGTGTGTGTGTGTGTGTGTGTGTGTGTGTGTGTGTGTGTGTGTGTGTGCGTGCGTGCATTTAAACTCATTTTAGTAACTGGTGGATGCACAGTGTTCCCACCCATCTCCACCGCGTCCTGAAATACACCAGCCAGGATTGGTACTGACACAAAGCCATAAATACACACAGGCCTTATGAAAAATAACTGTACTTATCCCTTAATAATCCTCCTGCTGACCAAAACAAACTGTTCACCAAAGACAGCTGACTGGTTATTACTGAAATGACTGAAACTAGACCAGGGACTATAAATCAGTGGGTTTTCTGGTGGATTACATTTAAGTCATGGATGAACTTTAGGCCGATATTAAAAATATAGATTCATCAAAAAAGTGTTGGCAGTCAATTATCAATATGTGCATGCAATTATCAACTGCATAAATATACAACAGACGGGGAAAAGACGAACCTCAGGCAGTTCAACTAAAAAAGAAGAATACAACATGACAGCAGAGACATGAAGGTCCTTTTAGAGTTCACGGTGGACGAAGCAGACAACGTGGACATTAACAATATGAACTCCACACTGGCCGCAGCCTCTATGCGCAGCTGGGTTGCTAGGTAACGCGGTGGTTGTTAGTGGTTCTCATCCGGGGAATTCAACGGCGTGTTGTCGGTCTCCCCCGTCTAAAGTCCTCCACAAATCTGCTGCGGTTTCAACTCAACACCACCGTTGTTCCGGTCGACTGGGCCTCTGTGTCCCGGTGCGACTGGGCCTCTGTGTCCCGGTGCGACTGGGCCTCTGTGTCCCAGTGCGACCGCTCCGAACAGCGCAGGAGTCCGCACACACCTCGCTGACATCGCACGTTAGCATTTAGCATGCTAGGCGAACTCCTGCGCGCCTTGTGGGCGTGTCGCTCGAGCGTCATAGCCGAGTGACGACGACACGAAGGCCACGCGCGATAGTGCGAGTTACAAATACATCCTCACTGTGGTAAACGAGTGGTTGAAAAGGCGAGAAATGCAACACAATAATGCTATATTATTGCACGTGTGCCACGCCACCTACAGGTAGGGATTTAGCGGCATTGCTCAAGGGAACTTCAGCACATAATGAAGCTTTAGCGAGGAGGACGCGGTCGCCCCCGTCGGTTGGAAGTGGAAGTGATGCAGAAGCGGAGGGCTGGACCGGATCCAGGTGCGCACAAAAAGCCTGGCAGGATCGTTACGAAGAAGCTCTCCGCTGGAGAGCGCACAAACACACACACACACACACACACACACACACACGGAGACACACACCCACAGACAGACACACGCGGACAGACACACGCTCAGTCAAAGCAGAGCAGAGGAGCTCTCGTGCTGATCGGTGCCAGACGGACGGTCGACTTTTAGTGCGTTTTATTCGTTTTACTACGGTTTAGTTCAGTTTATGGAGAAGTAACACTTCACTTTGACTAACTTTGGTGTCAAGTTTGATCTTTTCTTGGTTGAGCCTTTTTCAAGCCTGTTTGTTTGGAATATATTTGGGGATCAAAAGGTGGATACTGCACGACGCGCCGGTACAGTATTTATTCTCAGGGGGAAATAAAAGCTGAATTCACTCTGTGAAGTCTTGTCCACTGTGTGTGGCCAACGATTCAATTCATATTCCCTAAAAGAAAAAAAATCCCATCTTCTCTGTTGCAGAAGTCCTGGATTGTTTACACCGATTCTGACACCGAAACTTCGTCCGCGGGTGTTGTTTCTATTTTTTTTTCTTTTTAACCTGCGTGGCCCCAGCAATGGTGGGGCACCTACATTTACAAGCGATGGATGATAGCCTGAAAGGAAAGAACCGGGAAGGACTGCTCGACAGTCCGGATTCGGGGCTGCCCCCCAGTCCCAGTCCCCCCTTCTGCTCCATCTCTCCGGGTCTCACCGAGTCGCGCGCCGCCAGCTGCACGACGCCCGTCGAAAGTCCGCACGGGTTCTATAAGAAGGAGAGCCGAGAAGGCAAACTGGTAAGAGACGCGGCGCCGCGTTCGCTCTGTGATTTCAAACAATTCTTGTGACGAGAAAGCAGAAGGTTTTGTGTCCGCGCTTGAATTCGGCCGTTCATTTAATTGACACTTAAGCATAATCTAGTGGATGAGTAATAACGCTGCTGCAAAATAAACTCTTGAGAGCTTTTTAAATATTTGCCCAAAAACACATTTCACTTCAATCCCACTCACATAACATCTGGAAGATCTCTCTCTCTCTCTCTCTCTCTCTCTCTCTCTCTCTCTCTCTCTCTCTCTCTCTCTCTCTCTCTCTCTCTCTCTCTCTTAGAAATTCCCCAGTTGCAAACTAGTCGCGCTCGTGCCGTCTCTGTATATCTGGACCCTCAACAACAGAAATGTTTCCCTTTACAATCCGCTGCGTCAGCTGCTTTTCTGACAACATGGTGTCATAGGGGTCAGTGGGTTGATAAGGCCTAAGGGCCACGGACTCCTAGGGGTCCTCTCCAGGGGCTCCGATGTAAGACGACACGGAGCTTAAGGTGATTCACGCAATAGTTGTGTTATCGGAGACAAGGTGTACTCTTTGGGCAGGGCGACCGGTACCACAACCTCCAACCCCTTCAAATGTACAGTATCTGTTCTTGAATGGCGAGCTGTTTCACGAAGGAGGATATTTCATTCTCAGATTTCATTTGAAAAAAGTTTGCAGTCCTGTTACGGAAGTTTGAAAGTTGTGTGTCCAGCGTGTGTTATTATTTATTTATTATATTGTTATTATTCATACTGTTGTCCCGATAGCCACAAAGTGTCTCGCTCAATCTGTGAACATCGACATCGACATAAATTAAAAGCTAGTTTAAGCTTGTTACGTTAAAGTGTTTGAAAAGGGAGAAAATACTGTTAATAGATCAATTGGGGTAAAACATGGATGAAAAAGGTGCTGCTGCATTAATACCTCTTCATCCTGTCTCTGGATGCGCCGACAGCTCAGTAGAACCGACGTCGGAACAGCTTCAGAAATTGTCAATGAAAAGTGTCCCTTATAAATTATAATTAGATAAGTGTCTCAGCTCGTTTCACACCACCGTGAACACGAGCAAGTGCCACATGAAATAAAACATCATTTAGAAAAACATTTAGCAAAGTAGTCAAACGTTTCTAAAGTGATTCCAATTTAGTTTTATTATACAGGTTGTAAACTTTCTTCAGCTTCTTGAATTGTTTCCTGAGGAAAATCCTTATAGCTCATGGGATTCGGCTTCTATTGCTTGTTCATGATCATTCAACCCTAAAAGTGAAATTGAACGATATTTTCTACAACTGTGTATTTTAAACAAACGACTGACACAGTCAGTGAACCCCAGGCAATATAGCCAGATGAGGATAGATGATACTTATAATATATACTATAATATATATTTATAAGGGCAAATGCATTTCATATCTTTCATTTGTGTCACATGCAATGAGGCTGATTTGATTAAGAATCATTTCCAGCTCACTCCCAGCTTCAAAGCGTGTCTGTGCAGGTCGGGCGGCTTTTAAAGCGTTTTTGGGAGGCCTCAGAAATGCAGTGCTGCATCCTGGGAGTTTCGTGACATTGTTTGCCGAAACAGAGAGCGATCCTCTAATCCTCTGGAGGTTCAGATTAGTTGGTCTCTGCTTTGTGGTTTCCCTTTTAAAGATCCGTCCCGATTGCTTTGGATCCTCATCCTGTCTGACGGCCTGTTTGTTGGTACGACGACAGGAAGCATAAATGTGCTGGATTCTTTCTTCCTCCTTTAAAATCTATTTCTGAGTTGTTTTTGTGTAAGAACAATCCACAGGTTCTATTTTGGGGGGGCGGAGGCTTGTTAGAGGGACTGCGGGCCATTGCATAAGTGTTTGATGACCTCTCACTTCTAAATTAAACGTAGAGTAACCCTGAGACAGTCTGTTTTCTGTCTGAGCCAAATTTCTGCAGTTAATTAATGTTACGGCTGCACGTTATTACAAACATGTACGGTTCAAATAATAAAAAGGATTGGTTGCATTAACAATATCAATGCGATCATCTTATCTTGGGTGTCCTGTTCAAGGAAACACGGTCAAGTGGCCGATTAGACCACCAAAGAGATCCCATGACCCTTTTTCTGATTCTGCCTTACTGTCTGATATTGATGCTCTTGCATTTACATCTTTGCAAAACCCCGGGAGGCAAAGTCGGTTCACTGGAAAAGTGTGTTTGAGTTGGCGTTTTCTCTGCGCAGCTCTGCATTGTGCATTGTACATTGTGTGGGCTGCTCAGCTGCAGACTATTTCTTCTGGACAGAAATGGACTTCCAGGGGGGGGGGTTGTGCTTTGTGAGCACTCTGGGGGATCCGCTGCATGGGGGGCGACTCACTCTCCGTTCACCAGTGTTGGCTTTGCAGAAATTGCCAGAACACCCCGACGGAGAAATACCCGAGATGCTCTCCATGATCACACACTAGTTCAGTCCGGCTTTGAAAAACCAGCAGCTGCGCAAGTTCAGCCCCACCGTTCAGATGGTGTGTGTGTGTGTGTGTGTGTGTGTGTGTGTGTGGGGTGAGGACCGTAGGATGTAGGTAAGACGAGCTTCACGCAGCAATCTGCTGTGTCCTTGGCCTGTTCTTGCTTGTCCTCCCCATGGTGGCATGTGCGCTTAACCGCGGCCCAACCGCAGCATGTGACAGCCTCCCCTTGTGTAACGTGAGAGCGGTGCTTGAGGTGGAGGTGCCATGTGTGACTCAGATTGGTCGGAGGCGCACGTAAAGAAAACAGTCGATTGCGACATTTTCCACCGCGCGTGTCAGTAATCTGTGTCTCTGCTTGGCTCAGGTCTGTCTGTCCCCGTTATGGCTGCTGGAGGGGACAGTCGGAGGTCAAGGGTCAGTGCAAAAACAGATCTGGTTCTTACAGTTAGTTAAGGACACTACGTCTGTATCCCAGCTGGTTGAGTACTGGTTTGTTGGAGCTTACTAGGGTGGTATTGCTCATTAGATGTTTCATGTTTCGACTAGCTAAAATGAGACAGTTGTTTGGTGTTATTCTATAGTGATCGGAAAATTCAAACAAGGTTTGTCGGGTACTTTGATTTTTGAGTTTTTGACAATTTTTTGGACGAACCAAATAATTGGATGATTGAGAAAATAATTGGCAGCCCAAGAGCCCAATATTTTTAATATTATCAGAAATCATCAGACTGTGCCTCCATGAGTTTGTGATGTTGATCCTTGTGAAGCTCTAATGGGTGAAGCAGGTGGAGTAGTGACAATGGCAGAGATGAGATGAATCTCAGCAAAATGCCCACACACATTCAATCTTTGATCATTTCCATCTACAAAAAAGGATTTGCACAATGATCAATGATATATGACAAAGGCACAACATATTTAGAGAGTGTGTTTTGGATAACTTCCCTGTGTTGGCTGGCGGACCAATACGTTACTCTTTAAACTGCACCTCATTTCATGTCATTATTTTACCGTATCATCTCCAACTGAGTCATGTCATTACAATGATAGCTACTATCCGCCTCCAAACATTAGGCTCCAAATTTGCCAGCCTGTTTTCAGTCTACTCGCACAACACAGCTGTGTCATCTTGGTCACACATTTCTCTGGCCAGCTAGAAAGAGATTTTCATTTTCATTCGGTTGGAGCCACACAGTGTAATTATCTAAATTAAAATGGAAGTGCTGTTCCTGGGGCTGTTCTATTTGTCTAATTGTTTCTGTAATAGTCGTGCCACAAGTTCTCATGAGGGCAGATGAAGGAGTGTGTTTTTCTGGAGTGTTTTTAATTTGGGTTCCTGGCTCCCCAACCATGCTGCTTTTTTAAAAAAAATTTACTGGAATTCCTTGAACGAACACGTTGGTGGGCTGGTTACGAACAGTTCAGCGGTTCATGGATGCCTTTGTGAGACTTTGACTGTTGTGTTTCCTCTTGCACAGCTTCCCTACCTGCTGCTAAACTCCACAAACACAGACGCAAAGACTCGCATGTACCCTGTGTTCTTCGGAGAAAGCATCGAGGTCAACCCCAAACCCGAGCAGGAAATCAAGTAAGGGAACTTTGACACATAAAGAATGTTTTCTGCAATATGGAGCCTTCTTCACTTATTGTGATCAATACATGTCAACAGTGCCACCTAGCGATCGCTCTTAAACTGTATAAGTTTCTGATCTCGTCACCGTCTCGTTTCCAGGTGCAGCTCTGAGGTCAGGTACGACTCGGACAAGCATTACCAGGACCGGGTGTACTGCGCCCCCGTTCCCACGGCAACCTCCTTCAGCGAGACCGTTGTGGCGGTGCGCAACTGCACATGGAGGAGCTACAAGTCCCAGGTGTACCTGGAGCCACGGCAGAAACCCATCAGCTACCAGAGCACCACCATCATCTACCCAAAGCACGCAAAGAACACGTACCGCACGACGCTCAACTACAACGCCACGGGCTCCCGCCGCTGGTTCGTCTCCACGGTGCAGCTGGAGTCGAGTGAGGACACTAGTCCCTGCATCATCTACACAGAAGACCTGTAGAGTCCAGACCGCAACTGGGAGAAGAGGGCTACCTGGTGATCATCTTATGTGTTTTGGAGGACGAGGAACTTGGGAGCGGAAATACTTCTTTTTTTTAAAAGCCTACTTTGTACCCACCATGGAGGAAGGCTTTAGTGACATATCTCCTCAGTGCATTTAGACTTTCTACTGACGTAGTCCTTAAAACAAGGGAGTCTGTCCTCTGGCAGTTTTAATACTGCACTTCAATGGATCATGTCTTATTTAATGCAAGAGATGACAAGTTGGTGGCCTTTGCTCTCCTTCGGGTTAGACCACAGTGAAGGTAACAGGCGTCTGTGTATTGAGCCTGCGCAAAGCCGGTCACACCAATGCAAAGCATTCTAATATGGCTTCATTGCACTCGTTTTCTATAAATTACTGTCCTCCCAGTGGACTTGACATTGCCGAGGACCGAGGGGGAATTGGACCAAAGATAGTTCATCTCTTTGTAATAAGAAGAAACTTTTGCTTTAGTTGTACAGTTTCATTTAACACACATTCGAACTGCAGCTTGTGTAGTTCGATCAGACGTTTGATTAAACTGCGCGTTGCAAGATGTCATGTTTATTCACCAGAGCTGTATTTGTGAAAAAATTTGGAAAAGGAAGATTTTAGTACCTTTGAACACTTGGTTTTCAAATCTACAATTCTTTGCAACATTAAATATTCAGCTGTGTTGGAATTATGTGGTCAGGATTCAAAGTCCTTTTGAACGTCTGTTAAAACTTTATTTGAATACGTTTGTTAAGGTAATGTCAGAGTCAAGGTTGTTTTACTAGAACAGGTTATTATTAGCTTGTTTGGCTGCAGATCAACAAAATAACATCCTTTCTTAGTCTGCTTCATGAGCACGTCATCTATAGTAAAATATGATTGAGAAAAACACGTGTGTTTTCATGGCAGTTAAGAATCGTGGCAATCATTGTATTGTTTACCTTTCTGAACCGGCTTTGGCGTCAGACGGTGGAGCTTCTCGCACGAGTGACAATCACAAATTAGACAACCAGGAAAAGAGTTTGTTCATTTGAAAGACTTCTGTGTCACAACTCTTGGAGCTGAATATGGAGCGTTTAGTTCTGTGGAAAATCTGCGTTTCAACTGCCTCTAAATAAAGCAACAACTGTTCAGGATCAGGTTTAACCAGCTATTCGTAAATCCTGTCTGTGCACGAACTAGGCGTTGGTTTCAAACTAGTAATTTACTTAATCATATTGCACTATTAATATTTAAATAATGTCTGCTAGTCACATTTTTTAGGACAAATCGGCAGCTTTGTCCAATCAAAACAATCTAAACATGAAGTACATCAGCATCAAAAAATAAACAGTAAAACATTATATTAAACTAAAGTAGTAATCTTTTGTAAATGTATATCGTACATTGTTTTATTTATAAGTCAGTGTTTTTAGGTGTTAGTATTGAGGCAGTTTTGAAAGTAGCTTACATTATGCGGCCATTTTGTCTGACATTGGTAATATTGCGTTATGATATTATAACCATGTTGTTCATTTTGCGAGATTTGATTCAAAATCTTGTTTTAATTTAAAGGCGTGAGGGCAGATGTTTCAAGCGCGCTGCAGACATGCTAGCCGGCTAAAGTTAGCTTTGTCAGTTGTTTCCGTTAGCTAACCGTGTGTGCAGTAGCTACGACAGTCACACTTGGCATTTAATTCCTATATAAGAACTACTTTGTGTCATTGTGTGATACAACTTTACCGCCTTTATTTGAGCAAAGTGTAAATTTCGTCGTACAGTCGTAAACACTCAAAGTGGAGATGTAAATTTAATTTACGAATTGTTGGTGTTTCATTTTGTTTTCAGATATGAACAAATAGTCAAAGGTTTAATGATCCAAGGCAATTTCAAAGCGTTGAACCACTCTGTTATAACGAAGCAGTTAAACCACATCAGATATCCCTGTTGAGATGTAAAATAGATTTTTATGGAGAGTTCCCATTACTTTTCTTGTCTGTCTTTAGATTATTTAACAACTCAAATGAGTAAATTTCAGACTTTACTTAGATTTTTATCTCTATCAGATTAACTTGTTATTTTTATAGTTTGTAAAACCCTCCAGGCACGCGGAGGCACGAAGTGAGTTTAACGAGGGAACAGAAAGTAGCGATACAAAGACAGAAAAATAACATCCGCTCCTTCAAAGGAAACATTATAGACGAGGGAGGAAATTGTTTTGGAGATGGTTTTTATACTGCAAAGTTCCAGGAAAGATGGAGAGTTTTCTTTGTGTAGATTGTCTGTGAAATGTCAAGAGAACGAGAAGAGAAAGTTGGTGGGTGACAAATTTAATACTTGGTGGTTTTATGTGAAATACTTTTTCTTTACTGTAAAATGATTTCCTGTTGTATATGTGGCATTGAGGCACTCCATAATTCTCTTTATATTTTTGTACATCAATTATCATTTTTGTTCTGATCAAATAAAATAATTTAAAAAGATGTATATTCTAAATAAATAAAAAAAGCTATTCCCAAACCCTTATTCTGTTGTGTTGAGTATTTGTTGCTTGATCTACAGGACATTGTCCTTATAAGTACAAAACTAAAAATACTAAGGACTTTAAATTGAGAGTGAAAGGCTTCAGTCTAAATCTCATGACATTGTCACCTTGTAGCGCTCAGGGAATTAAGTAAGGAGGCGGATCATAACAGACATGCAGTTTGACACAATAGATAAATTGCACAAATCACAGGAGACCAGAGGAGCCGCAGCTGAGCAGCTCATTTATAGAATAACCACCACTGAAAGCTCTGACCTTCACCAAGATTAACGCAGCTGTAGTTTTAACAAGAACCATTGCTTTGTTTTAACAGTTACCTTGCTTAAATTACGGTAAAATGATGGGGAAAGCATGTCCTGCAGCAGTCGGTGTCAAAAACAAAATAAAGTGTAACTATTAAAACGTTTGCTTATACTGCCCCTTGGTGGTACTACTGTTATAACCTTAGCTCGGTCAAACGTTTCTGTAGGCAAAAGGAATAAAATGTGAGAGAACGCAGGAATAAATAACACGACTCCGAGACCATGAATGGCAATAAGCTTTTTATTTAAACATTAAGGCAGTGTCTTTTTTGTTTTTCATTTTTACACTGCTATCCACAAAGCTTGCTGGTGGGCATGTAGAACCATGTGAATATTTATTTTATTTTTTGTTTTTTTTGTAATACCAACCTTGAAGCAAGCCACATAAATATTTACATCTCTTCAGTTTTATATACAATCCTTGCTATTATACAGTGGGTTATAATAAAAAAAATCATTATGCACAAATGGTTGAACAATGTAATGTTTATGACAAACCAACCCCCCATTGGACAGTCCAGGGAACACATCGGCAAATAACTTTGTCTTTTCACGTTTTGAATGAGTAATTACTATTTGGGAGATGATCGAAAAACACAAAGGATGAGTCTTAAAAATCATTTCAGTATACTTTTAAAAACTACATATCATCATCGGTTGAGGGAACAGCTATGGCTTAGTCTGATTACCGGCACAATTCCATCAGAGGACAAATGATATCCACGCAGAGTGATTAATGTACAAAGCCCAGCTGTGTTTTTGCTTGACGAAATTACAAACCTTGATAAGAGAAAAAAAAAGAAGTAAAAGATGGTCCGTTGGAGGCTTTACCAACAACAGGCAGAATGAATGAAGGACGGAGAGGAGGTAGTCCTATAACAGTCATGTTTGTGAGAATTCCCTGTGACAAAATGAAGTAGAGATAGAGAGGTACGTCTGTCCTGAACCACCAAACGGGCTCAATGCCGTCGCTTCAGGGTGTTAAGTCAAAGGATAGAATTCGTCCCTGGTGGCACAAGTCACAAGTTGGGAAACATTTCACATCGTTTACACAAAGGAGGACCTTTAAGATACTACAGTAAACTGTGAATGTAAATTCATGTTATATAAAACTACCAGAATGCATCTTGCATTCGTTCCATCTCGACTTCCTCTGAAAAGTACAAACACAAATGGGTGCTAATGAGAACACTCACATCTCACGGGTCTCAGAAAACATCTGACGTAAGCCGTCCTGTTATACCCCGTTGTCTTGTTTTGGAGATGAGTTTAAGAGTAAAAGCTAAGGCTGTGATGGATTTGGAAGCAAAACAACAACAACAACAAAGAAAAAAACGTAGAAAATTCTTCTTCTTTTTTTTTTTTAACACAGGACGTTTCATTTGCTGTTATGTCTTAAGATTTCCGTGCGTGGACAGTATAAAGTCTGTCATGGGGGGCTAAAAGAAAAATTGTGCGTCACTTGGTAACTTCAGAACTGTATATGTAAAATAAATGGCACTTAACACTAGGAATATCTCATAACTGTACAAAATCTGCCTGGAGGAGGAGTTGGGTCTCAGCTCCTCTTCCAGGCAGTAAAAAGGTCAGAGGTCAGACCATCACAACAGCTCCTAGACCAGATTCTGACGGCCCGGCTGAAGCAGACACCATCCTGGGCCGAGGTTCATAGAAAGATGGCTTATTTTTGTCACCTCTTCAATGCGAACAAACCCTTAGTGATGCCGAGGAGCTTGCTTTTAAGCAGCCTTAACATCGGTCTGCACCTGCTCGAAGCGGCTTAGTCGTCGTTCACTAAACTGTGATTGTCGCTTTGAGTGTGAGCGCGATAAAGAAGATCGGTAGCACGGCCGAAATAAACAGACAGGTGTTTAAGGATACCTCCACAGTGGGATTTCTATGCGGTCTTGAGTCCATTTTCCCACTTGTCCTCCCCCCCTCTGGGAAAAACACATTCTTAAAAATGCCATTGTGAACAGACTGACAACTAAGTGCTAAATATCCAAAAACCGTTTCAACAAACACAGACATGATTAATATAAAAACAGTGAGAAAGTGTCACTTGTTTCACTGCCGTCCATCCGGCAAATCATCTCTCCCCATAAGTATGCCTGAGGGGCAACAAGCCCCCCCCCCCCCCCCCCCCCCCCAATATATGACGACATCAGCAATGAACAGCATGTTTACCCTGTAAACCAATGATATGACCCCCCCCACGCATTACAATCTCAGGCCCCACCCACCCCCCCGAAAAGTTATACATCATTGCAGATAATAGACAACAAATGACACCATCAAAAGTTCACCATCAAAATGTACTAACGGTCTCAGCTCACGTTCCAAACACAGGACTAACCGACTTTAAAAAGGAGCAGAAGAACGAACCGAAACCAGATAAAACAAGACGCTGATCCTCCTCCCGTCGCCTCGCACCTGTAGTGGTCGTGGTGCACCGGCCGCCTGCACCTGGCGTTCACTTTGAACAAACGCGAGAGGGCCCTCGCCACGCGGCCCGCTGTTCTCGGGTCGGATCTGCGGTTCTCACGTTTAAATGGTCACCGGAGCAGCAACAACGTCACCCGCGGAGTCAGTCAGCAACAAGAGATCGGTACGGACAAAACGGTGCAGGTCACGGCGTCTAGAATGATAAGGCCAGTGAGGACAAGTAGCAAGGTAAAAAAAAGAAGAAAAGTAAAAAAAGAAAACTAAAGAAAAGGTAAGAAGTGATTTGTCCTTTTGAGTAGTCCTGGAGTGAATGCATCACACATAAGTGCAAACACAGACACACATACACACACACACACGGCGCAGCAGTGTCTGAGCTCGGGGCAGCTTGGCGTCTCAGACATGGGAGAGAGAGAAGAAGGACGCCCTCAATGCTTGACGACTGACGGAGGAATGCAGAGTGGAATGGTGTTGGTTGCTTTTGCAGATGCCTCAGCAAGTGTGTGTGTGTGTGTGTGTGTGTGTGCAGCAGCACAGAGCTGGTTGACTGTTAGCGGGTCATGTGGTACAACAGATTTGTGGGTCACTCGCTGTCAGAGAGGGTCTCGTACTGAGACATGAGAAGAGGCTTGGGCTCCTCCTCCCAGGACCGGCCCTGTGCGGGTCCCTGCCCCGGGGCCCCCAGCTGGCCAGAGGAGGGCGAGGGGGCGGACACCGTCCCGCTGGGGAAACGCATTATCAACGGATTACACGGGAAGGGGGTCGGAGTTGAACCTGCAAACAAAGCAGAGAGGAAGAATTGTTGAGTTTGACACATTCTGTCATTTTACATAAACCGCTAACAACAGATAACTATTAACTTCGGTTAGTTTCATACCAGTGGACGAAGGCCGATCCTCCCACACGCGGTTAGTAAGAGGAGTTCGTCTGTTGCAGTCTCCTTCAGAGTGGACTGAGGACACGGAGGAAGGTCTCTCCCCTCCGGACAGCCCCGGTCCCGGAGACTTTGCCTTCCGCCCGTTAGAGCGCCCGCTGCCCTTTTGAGGACTTTCCCCCACCTGCAAGCAGAAGAGATTCAAACCTTCAGCACAACAATCCCGTTCCAAAAATGTCCTGTCAAGCTGCTAATTCAACCATACCTGAGGTCACTGCAAATTAAACACACAACAAAGTCCCTCAGTAGCTTTCTTGAATCACTTCAATAAATTATTGTTTGACTATAGTCTTAAAGGAAGACTTAAATAATTACCTGGTCATTTTTAATGCGGAAAGAATAAAGATTAGACAGTCAATACGCCTACTTTCAACATCGGGGGACTCTTGTGTCTTGCTCTCACCTTGTGAGAAAAAGTCTTCAGCGCGTCCCTCGGCTACAGGCACACCGGCAGAGCCGGCCGATCCCGTCTGGTTAGCGGCGTTGGACGGGGGGCGCTCCTCGAGCTGATCATCGTATCTGCCCATTAAGGCCTTTCTTATAATGGCCTCCAGGCCTATGGAATTACCCGGAGTCTCCGGAGCTGGATGGCAGCGGACACTCACCGGTCCTGTGAGAGGAAGCGCTTGACGTTAAGAGAGAGAAATGCAGGTACAGAGAATGCTGTCAAAAGGGCACGAAGTGTTGTGGCGAAACTAAATAGTTTACCACTGAATGTCAGCAGTGAGGAAAGTAAACGGGGGTAAATCACATTCATTGAAAGTAGAAGAGACAAACATGCTTAGTCATTTTATTTCATGGCATCTGTGCTGCATTCATATTTCCGTCTTTAAATGTGTGCTGAGAGGCTTCCTGGAGGACGAGGTTGAGAGGTGATGCATTTCTCTGAGGGCCTCTCCCGACTAGTTCAAACACCAAATGACACAGTGCGCCGGGAGCTTTCGCCCCGCCCGTCTCATCTGGGAACGCGGGTCAAGTTGATTTCCTGAGTAAACAGCACCTTTAACACCACATCAGGGCCGTGGACAGTTTCTGTACACCTTTAAACCACGGCCTTCGTGTGAACACCAGCAGTCAGGTGGAGAAGGCCAGCGAGAAACCCATGTCCAGGATATTGGTGCACAGGATCGCCGTCTTTGCAGTAAGACATTTTCATCCGGAAAGGTGATGGGACTTAAACCTTGAAATAAAATTGGGCCAGTTCTCACGTCTAAATGTAAAGTTTCCCACCAAAAGAAAGCTGAGCCAGATTTCAAACATTCACTTATATTTGCCGTCACTCAAAACACTGCCGTCTGCAGTTCAACGTGATGTTGCCGACTTATAGCCAAGTAGATGGGGTGTTCTTATATCAACCTCGTAAGCTCCTCCGTGTATGAGTTCACAACACTGTATGCAGCCACTATAATGTGTCACCTGCAGTTGTCGACGCCGGCATGTTGAAGATCTCTGTTCCTGGCTGACCAGCATCTGAAATTGGGAACAAGGTGTATATTTCAAAAGTCCATCCTATTTCTAAAAGGACAAAGTAAAATTCTGTGCAGAGACGTTCAGACTTACTGAAATCACCGTCATTTCCCACCACGGTCATCTTCTTGATCATCTCCTGTTTCTTTGACTTCACGATGGCCGAGGTGCTCTCGGTCAACTTGCTGAAGAAAGCTGGAGGCTGGGCGGCATTGGGAGGCGAACGGGAGCCCATTCTGCAGGTTAACAAACAGCTGATCACATACTAATACTAATACTAACATATCACACACATACTGTCATTAACAGACTCTGCATAGTTGGGATGTTTAGAAGCAAAATGTTACTTTGTATATTCTGCATTTAAGGTCTGCAGTTAAATGTTTCTGCTGACATTAGTTGCACAATGACAAACTTTTTTTTTTTTATCTGTACCACATGAGCTGGTGGTGATCAGCAGGCTAAGAACCCGTCAGCCAGAACACTTCCCTTTCTCGCTGAGGAAGAGCTCAATCATACCACAACTGCTGCTTTCACCCAAAGCAGCTAACAAGCGGAACAACGACACCCTCAAGACGAGGTCGCAGATAAAACCGTCATCATGGGAGCTCATCACTTTGTCTGTACATTGAAAGCGTGTTGTTGCTGCCATAGATGTTGAATCATTAAACCGTTTCTATAATAAGTCTCTGAAGAAGGCGAGCCTTTACCCTTGTTCTCCCTGCTCGTTGGAGTAAGAGGCCCCTCCCTGGACATCAGCTCAGAGTTGGCTCCAACTGGGGAAACTGGTTCAATGCCATC